ACAGACTTCTTCACAACAACGTTATCGTCACACAATTCGGAGTCAGGCCTGGAGTTTACATTTAGCTTATCACTGAACTTGCTCACTGGTTCACAGTTCACTTCTGTATGCACCTCTTGCACACGTGTAAAACAAAGCCGTGTTTGTCTTGCATCTTGTAACTTATCTGTTGAGGATGTACTACGAAACCTGTTACACTCACTAGGTCTATATGCATTACTAGACATCATGGAGCCTTCTCGATATCCACCTCTCTGAGGCTTATTCGTCATCAATGAGTGCGTTTTACCCTCAGACTGCTCTATTCTAGGGGTGAGATCTAATAGACTGGAAAACTTGCTCATAGATTGATTGACGCTATCTTTACCAAATTCAGGATATCATCAAACCTTGGCTCGATACCCTCATCCTCCATACGGGAGCTTATCTTCACCCACTTCCTTTGCAGTCGAGTAGGTAGACGTCTTGCTATTACTTCTAGTATAAAACTCGAGTTGAGGTCACTCATTCGATTCATCGAAATCATTCCATTCTTGTAAATTAGCAAATTATCTAAAAACTCAGTGAGTGCCTGGGAGTCATCCTGTAATTGACCACCATTACCCTTAACAGCCTCGAATAATTTCCCTGCAATCATCGAAGGTCTTCCAAACCTTTGACGTAATATGCTCATAGCCTCGTAGTAGCCCTCCTTTGGCTTCATAAACTTACAACACTGTATAGCTCTTGCAGCATCTCCAGTGCAATATCTCATCAAATACATTAACTTCAATTCATCATTTAATAAAAAACCACTCAACATGATCTCAAACTCCTTTACAAATTGTAAATAATCAGCCGGGTTTCCATCAAAACACCGTGGTTCTAATTTAGGGAGTTTGATGTTCCTATTATCCCTGAACGGCGAAACAGTAACATCAACCATGTCATGCTTAACATCAGACACATCGTTACAATTAACAGACAAGTCAACATGACTTACTTTCCTGTTTGCATCCAAGACACTCTGTCCCTTCTTTGACCCAGGCATTGTTGAACTTGACCCAATTCCAAAGAAGTTCCAGATATTGCTTGTTCAAAGAGGACTTGACCGGCACCAGGAAAAATGAACGGTGACTATCCAAACTTTCACCAACTGTTTGAATCCGCCAGATCTGTTTCTATCGTCAGAAACTGTCAGCCAAGTCTCATAAACCGTTAATGCCCAGCTCTCGCTACGCTCGGGCCCACGCTGTTCTTAGAAGATTTCTCAGAAACGCTTAGTTATAACGGACGCAAAAACCAAAACACCGATCTGCCGTTTGATATTTCTGTATTAGATAGTTCAGAAGAATACGACTACAGAGTGTTATGATAGCATAACAGTAAAATAAAATCCGTTTATACTTAGGATTCACAGTGTAGTTAAGAGACAGTAGTTAGTTATAATAGATAGTTCAGAAGAATACGACTACAGAGTGTTATGATAGCATAACAGTAAAATAAAATCCGTTGATACTTAGGGATCAAAGTGTAGTTAAGAGACAGTAGTTAGTTATAAGAGATAGTTATGATAGCATAACAGTAAAATAAAATCCGTTAATAATTGAGACTCACAGTGTAGTTAAGCTGAATTTTTAGACGATCCTGTGTAGAGCTTCGATTTCTGTAAACGCATATCGTAATGTAATTTTATATAATATAATTTTTGAGTAAAGTGGCAGTCAGCTGCTGGGATTAAATGCATTTGAATGACTGAATATGTGTCAGGGTAGTTCATTTAGGTTCAGTGCAACTTTCGTGGCGAGTATGACAGGCTGTGTATTTCACTCCAGGTTTGCTTGAAAAGATTGCGGATGTTTTGTGATGATGCTTGCAAAACAAATAATTGAATCAAAGTGTATTTAAGCAGATTTTTTTTTAAACGATCCAGTTTAGGGCTGGGATTTCCGTAGACATAGATGTAAATATAATAATATATAATATAATACGTAATACTAGATTAATTTGGCAGGCAGCAGCTGGGATTAAATGCATTTGAATGACTGAATATGTGTCAGGGTAGTTCATTTAGGTTCAGTGCAACTTTCGTGGCGAGTATGACAGGCTGTGTATTTCACTCCAGGTTTGCTTGAAAAGATTGCGGATGTTTTGTGATGATGCTTGCAAAACAAATAATTGAATCAAAGTGTATTTAAGCCGATTTTTTTTTAAACGATCCAGTTTAGGGCTGGGATTTCCGTAGACATAGATGTAAATATAATAATATATAATATAATACGTAATACTAGATTAATTTGGCAGGCAGCAGCTGGGATTAAATGCATTTGAATGACTGAATATGTGTCAGGGTAGTTCATTTAGGTTCAGTGCAACTTTCGTGGCGAGTATGACAGGCTGTGTATTTCACTCCAGGTTTGCTTGAAAAGATTGCGGATGTTTTGTGATGATGCTTGCAAAACAAATAATTGAATCAAAGTGTATTTAAGCTGATTTTTTTTTAAACGATCCAGTTTAGGGCTGGGATTTCCGTAGACATAGATGTAAATATAATAATATATAATATAATACGTAATACTAGATTAATTTGGCAGGCAGCAGCTGGGATTAAATGCATTTGAATGACTGAATATGTGTCAGGGTAGTTCATTTAGGTTCAGTGCAACTTTCGTGGCGAGTATGACAGGCTGTGTATTTCACTCCAGGTTTGCTTGAAAAGATTGCGGATGTTTTGTGATGATGCTTGCAAAACAAATAATTGAATCAAAGTGTATTTAAGCTGATTTTTTTTTTAAACGATCCAGTTTAGGGCTGGGATTTCCGTAGACATAGATGTAAATATAATAATATATAATATAATACGTAATACTAGATTAATTTGGCAGGCAGCAGCTGGGATTAAATGCATTTGAATGACTGAATATGTGTCAGGGTAGTTCATTTAGGTTCAGTGCAACTTTCGTGGCGAGTATGACAGGCTGTGTATTTCACTCCAGGTTTGCTTGAAAAGATTGCGGATGTTTTGTGATGATGCTTGCAAAACAAATAATTGAATCAAAGTGTATTTAAGCTGATTTTTTTTTAAACGATCCAGTTTAGGGCTGGGATTTCCGTAGACATAGATGTAAATATAATAATATATAATATAATACGTAATACTAGATTAATTTGGCAGGCAGCAGCTGGGATTAAATGCATTTGAATGACTGAATATGTGTCAGGGTAGTTCATTTAGGTTCAGTGCAACTTTCGTGGCGAGTATGACAGGCTGTGTATTTCACTCCAGGTTTGCTTGAAAAGATTGCGGATGTTTTGTGATGATGCTTGCAAAACAAATAATTGAATCAAAGTGTATTTAAGCTGATTTTTTTTTAAACGATCCAGTTTAGGGCTGGGATTTCCGTAGACATAGATGTAAATATAATAATATATAATATAATACGTAATACTAGATTAATTTGGCAGGCAGCAGCTGGGATTAAATGCATTTGAATGACTGAATATGTGTCAGGGTAGTTCATTTAGGTTCAGTGCAACTTTCGTGGCGAGTATGACAGGCTGTGTATTTCACTCCAGGTTTGCTTGAAAAGATTGCGGATGTTTTGTGATGATGCTTGCAAAACAAATAATTGAATCAAAGTGTATTTAAGCTGATTTTTTTTTAAACGATCCAGTTTAGGGCTGGGATTTCCGTAGACATAGATGTAAATATAATAATATATAATATAATACGTAATACTAGATTAATTTGGCAGGCAGCAGCTGGGATTAAATGCATTTGAATGACTGAATATGTGTCAGGGTAGTTCATTTAGGTTCAGTGCAACTTTCGTGGCGAGTATGACAGGCTGTGTATTTCACTCCAGGTTTGCTTGAAAAGATTGCGGATGTTTTGTGATGATGCTTGCAAAACAAATAATTGAATCAAAGTGTATTTAAGCTGATTTTTTTTTAAACGATCCAGTTTAGGGCTGGGATTTCCGTAGACATAGATGTAAATATAATAATATATAATATAATACGTAATACTAGATTAATTTGGCAGGCAGCAGCTGGGATTAAATGCATTTGAATGACTGAATATGTGTCAGGGTAGTTCATTTAGGTTCAGTGCAACTTTCGTGGCGAGTATGACAGGCTGTGTATTTCACTCCAGGTTTGCTTGAAAAGATTGCGGATGTTTTGTGATGATGCTTGCAAAACAAATAATTGAATCAAAGTGTATTTAAGCTGATTTTTTTTTAAACGATCCAGTTTAGGGCTGGGATTTCCGTAGACATAGATGTAAATATAATAATATATAATATAATACGTAATACTAGATTAATTTGGCAGGCAGCAGCTGGGATTAAATGCATTTGAATGACTGAATATGTGTCAGGGTAGTTCATTTAGGTTCAGTGCAACTTTCGTGGCGAGTATGACAGGCTGTGTATTTCACTCCAGGTTTGCTTGAAAAGATTGCGGATGTTTTGTGATGATGCTTGCAAAACAAATAATTGAATCAAAGTGTATTTAAGCTGATTTTTTTTTTAAACGATCCAGTTTAGGGCTGGGATTTCCGTAGACATAGATGTAAATATAATAATATATAATATAATACGTAATACTAGATTAATTTGGCAGGCAGCAGCTGGGATTAAATGCATTTGAATGACTGAATATGTGTCAGGGTAGTTCATTTAGGTTCAGTGCAACTTTCGTGGCGAGTATGACAGGCTGTGTATTTCACTCCAGGTTTGCTTGAAAAGATTGCGGATGTTTTGTGATGATGCTTGCAAAACAAATAATTGAATCAAAGTGTATTTAAGCTGATTTTTTTTTAAACGATCCAGTTTAGGGCTGGGATTTCCGTAGACATAGATGTAAATATAATAATATATAATATAATACGTAATACTAGATTAATTTGGCAGGCAGCAGCTGGGATTAAATGCATTTGAATGACTGAATATGTGTCAGGGTAGTTCATTTAGGTTCAGTGCAACTTTCGTGGCGAGTATGACAGGCTGTGTATTTCACTCCAGGTTTGCTTGAAAAGATTGCGGATGTTTTGTGATGATGCTTGCAAAACAAATAATTGAATCAAAGTGTATTTAAGCTGATTTTTTTTTAAACGATCCAGTTTAGGGCTGGGATTTCCGTAGACATAGATGTAAATATAATAATATATAATATAATACGTAATACTAGATTAATTTGGCAGGCAGCAGCTGGGATTAAATGCATTTGAATGACTGAATATGTGTCAGGGTAGTTCATTTAGGTTCAGTGCAACTTTCGTGGCGAGTATGACAGGCTGTGTATTTCACTCCAGGTTTGCTTGAAAAGATTGCGGATGTTTTGTGATGATGCTTGCAAAACAAATAATTGAATCAAAGTGTATTTAAGCTGATTTTTTTTTTAAACGATCCAGTTTAGGGCTGGGATTTCCGTAGACATAGATGTAAATATAATAATATATAATATAATACGTAATACTAGATTAATTTGGCAGGCAGCAGCTGGGATTAAATGCATTTGAATGACTGAATATGTGTCAGGGTAGTTCATTTAGGTTCAGTGCAACTTTCGTGGCGAGTATGACAGGCTGTGTATTTCACTCCAGGTTTGCTTGAAAAGATTGCGGATGTTTTGTGATGATGCTTGCAAAACAAATAATTGAATCAAAGTGTATTTAAGCTGATTTTTTTTTTAAACGATCCAGTTTAGGGCTGGGATTTCCGTAGACATAGATGTAAATATAATAATATATAATATAATACGTAATACTAGATTAATTTGGCAGGCAGCAGCTGGGATTAAATGCATTTGAATGACTGAATATGTGTCAGGGTAGTTCATTTAGGTTCAGTGCAACTTTCGTGGCGAGTATGACAGGCTGTGTATTTCACTCCAGGTTTGCTTGAAAAGATTGCGGATGTTTTGTGATGATGCTTGCAAAACAAATAATTGAATCAAAGTGTATTTAAGCTGATTTTTTTTTAAACGATCCAGTTTAGGGCTGGGATTTCCGTAGACATAGATGTAAATATAATAATATATAATATAATACGTAATACTAGATTAATTTGGCAGGCAGCAGCTGGGATTAAATGCATTTGAATGACTGAATATGTGTCAGGGTAGTTCATTTAGGTTCAGTGCAACTTTCGTGGCGAGTATGACAGGCTGTGTATTTCACTCCAGGTTTGCTTGAAAGGATTGCGGATATTTCCTGATGTCTGCTTAAAAAATAATTTGATCAACTAAAAAAAAGGAACTGAGAACAGAAATTAGCTCAACGTAGAATATTTTAAATATGTCTGATAATACTGACCGTATCTGTTAATGCTTTGAGTGAACAAAGCTGTTTAGGTACATAAGTCGGAGTGGGAAGAAACAATATCACGAATTTTCAGCATGTGGCAAACCGTGTCAAGACTATTTTCGGAGAAATATTTATGTAGTAGATGGGTGAATCGTTGTACTGTGGTGCTGTTTTTGATTTCATTTGGTAAGAAGTTCCATATTTGCCTATATTTGACTGTAAAGAAGTTGGAACGAGAATTCGTTCGACAAAGAATATGACTTAGAGAAGACCCGTTGCTGCGTAGTTCATACGTCGAAGAAGAAAAGTTAAGGTTATTATTGGGGAAGTATACTATTCCTTTGAGAATTTTGAATAGGAGAATGAGGTTAAGTCGGTGACGCCTGAACCAAAGGGGTTCGATCTTAAGAGTCGCGCAACGACTGTTGTAGGGGACTTTCAGATTTGTTCCTAAGATTCTACTTGTAAATCTCCTTTGAACACTTTCAATCCTTAGTTTGTCCTTAACAGAGGTGCTGTCTAGGATAAATGGACAGTACTCAAGGAGGGGCCGTATGTGTGTTCTATAAAGTAACATTTTAGATTCTTTGGTCTGAAAGTTGTGAAATATAAATCCAAGTAATCTCCTGGCTTTAGAGACTTGGTTGGTGACATAGAGAGAGAATTTAAAATCGGCAGAGTAACAGAGCCCGAGGTCAAGTACAGAAGGGAAGATAGTGATAGGCTTGTCGTATATAGTTATGCGTGGTGCGATACGTAAACGAGTTGAGCATAACAGACCACACTTCTGCACGTTGATCTGCATCATCCACGACTTACACCAAGTTTCAATATTATCAATATCCGATTGGATTTTATAAGATAGGTTTGTCAGTTCTTGGGTGGTACTGTAGTAGACTACTTTCAAGTCATCGGCATATAAGAAGGGTCTGCCATGCTTTATAACATTACAGACGTCATTTAGGTATATAAGAAAGAAGAGAGGTCCTAGTACACTACCTTGAATTACGCCACTTGATATAGGAGTGGTACTGGAAAAAGTGTCATTAATCTTAACAGACTGGGACCGACCACGCATAAACGAATTACACCAGTCTAATAGATTGCCAGATATACCATAAGCCTTAAGTTTTTTCAGGAGTAAATCATGACATACTTTGTCGAATGCCTTCTTAAGATCGATATACACAATGAGCACAAGGAATTTTTGATCAATAAGTCCAGTTATAAAATCGAATAGTTCCAGGTGGCAAGTCATACATGATCTGGACTTTATAAAACCATGTTGAGAAGGTGTTATGAGGTTTTCAGTCAATAAGAAGTCAGTGATTTTGGTACTGATTATCTTCTCAAGTATCCTAGACAAGACAGACGTTATATTGATTGGCCTGTAATTTTTTACATCACATTTTGAGCCGGATTTAAATCTAGGGACAATATATGTCTGCTTCCATTTAGAAGGATAAACTCCGTTCATAAGGGACGTTGAGAATATTTTAAGCAAAAGGAGAGGTAGATCGGAGCCACCATGTTTTAGGAAGGAAGACGGAATTGAGTCAGGTCCAGGAGTATTGGAAAATTTCAATGAACGCACTGCACTTTCTATAACATCAACGGTCAAGCATATATTTGACAGTGTTTTGCCTGTTAACGAGTCAAATTCTATGCATCCAGAAATATCATGCGTGTATGAGTCAGAAAAGTGCTTGTTAAAGAGTTCGGCTATGCCTGCATCATCCTTAACAACGACATTATTATGAAGAATGTAAGGAATGTTGCCTTGTTTATGTTTCAGTCTTTTTGGAAGAGTTTGCAAAGGGAGCTAATTTTGGAGTTACTTTTAAGGGCGATAAGTTCTTCTTTGTAAATTTTAACGGCATTATCTGATCTGATTTTATCATATACCTTAAGGATGCTAATGAGCGAGGAGAAGTCCATAGATTTATTATAGGTTCTACGGAGTCTTCTTAGCTTATTCCTGGTAGCATTCGGTATATATAGTTGATTTACACAGTTGCGTTTGGATGTATACCAAGGGATAGATTCGTTGAAGCAAACAGATATGTTGGAGTAGAAACTGTCAAGGGCAGTATCAATGTCTGCCGAGGAGAAAAAGGTATCCCAGTCTTGGCAACGAATAAAAGACTGCGTTGTTTCCCAATTAGCCTTTGAAAAGTTTCTGACTTTTACTGTCCGACGACGCCCTTTGCCTGACCTACCTGCTGTTAGGTTAAAGGTGGAAGTGACCGTGTTGTGGTCGCTGCCAGGGAATAAAGGCCCAACTCGAGTGCTGACGGGGAGAATGTTATGTGTGAAGATTAGATCTAATATGTTGGATTTACGTGTGGGGTGAATAACATTTTGTGTCCATCCATAGAGTTCAACCGAATTTATAAAACGATCAGTGTATTTAGGAACCTTAAGGCTATTCCACTGGATACCAGGCATGTTAAAGTCGCCAGCTATAATTTTATAGTCAAAATTTAGAGAGGAGACGTGTTCGAAAATTTCACATAGACGGTTCGTTGTGTTAGAATCAGAATTGGGTGGGCGATATATACATCCCAATAAGAGTCTTGTATTTAAGTTGGTGTTGAGTGTAACCCATACTGCGTCTGTCAGTGAGCAACCCAAATCATCAACTTCTACAGCGTGGAATTTATTGCTAACAAAGATAAGACAACCACCACCACGTCCTTCTTCTCTGCCATGTCTAAAGTGTGTGTATCCTGGTGATTCTAGTAGTCTGTCATTGAAGTCAGATGGTAACCATGTCTCGGTAACTAACAGTACTGAGGGCTTACAAAGTGAAAGTAAGGAGTGAAGGTATGGAATTTTATTGCAGATAGAACGAGCGTTTATAAGGAAAAGAGTAAATGATCTTTGATTAGTGGTAAGGGACGAGGCAAAATGAAGGAGATGATGATGTGATTCGGCTGAGGTTAAATGAAAGTTAGATGATGGTCCGACCGGTATATCGAGTGTTCGGTGCTTAAAGCCTTCATCGTTTTCGTTAAGATCCTGTGAAAAGGAAGAGGATTTCCATAGTTGATCGCTTATCTCACGATCGCATGGAGATAGGCATACTGGGGTACGCTGGGTGTCTGAAGGGGGTACATTTGAGAGTAAGGAAACAGACTGTTTGGCATTAGGTTGATTGGTGGCATTACTGTTGGGTGTGGAAAGGAGAAAAAATTGTGAGGGGATTGATTAGTTGGACAGTTGTAAGGACGGTTTTGTTGTCGGGATAGTGTGTTTGTGGGGTAGTAGCATTGTCTGGGTGGATCTCCAAGCAGACTATGCTGAAAGTTTGGGCGACTGAATCCATGCGGCTGTGCACCAGGGATATGGGCATAGTTGAATTTAGTATTACGCAACCTCATAGTAGAGGTAGGGTAGCTATAAGTGGTTGTATTAGAATGGTGAGGAAAAGTGAATGAGGGAGGTTGACTAGTGTCTGTTAGATTTGATACCGTAGATGTCATTTTAGGAAATCTAAGCGCATGAGTAGTAGAGGATGCTGAAACAGGCTTGATAGAGTGTGTGCCACGCATAGGAATTCTATTTTTTACATTTTTTCTCATAATTTGAGAGCTAGACGTGAATGTGATACAAGGGTTTTCGGTATATTTAGCATGGCGGGTAGGATTTTCATTGGTACCTTTTGCAGACAGTGAGTGCTTTTCAGGTTGTTTAACAGCTGGAGAAGTACTGGATTTAGTATTGGTAACCCTACCAGGCTTCATTTCAGTGTAACTAGGTGGAGGGTTTCTTTTAGGGTTTGGGTGGTATTTTTTATTAACATCAATGGGGCTGGTAGTATCCTTTTGGTGACTTATTTCACCTGCTGAGACACTTAGCTTGGCACGACGCTGGATTGGTGTCCTGTCGTGAATAATACGTATATTCTTAAAGTTGCTTACTCTCTTAAAGAGATGTTGGTTGTTTACAAAGCGACTAGCATCCACAATGTTATTAAATTCGAACATTATTGGACAGGATGTATTAGCTGAAGATTTACGCAATCGTTTGCACCTACAATGGGAGTCTGGTATTTCACATGTCTTTAAAAGTGCATTTTTCAATGTTTTAATGTTAGTACTGTCGGGCACATTGAAGACGATTGCATTATACATGCACTGAACACGCTTAATCACTTCCGTGGAAATGTGATCTATAATTCTCTCACAAGACTGTAGTGTATCATAGTCAGGAAAGTCAGCAGGCTTCATAAGATACCTAAGGGGTAAGAGATCATGGACTAATGGAAGAATGTCTCTACTTTCCAGGTTATTGGTTTGGGTAGTTGTGTTCTGCGTAGATAATGAGCAGTTGGCGTTTTCCAATTTGGCATTAGGTTGACGTCCACGGGTCGCTGATGACCGATGGAAATTTTTGCGTTGAGGGGCTTTGTTGGTAATGGAAGCGGTGGTGCTACAATCTAACTTCTGAACTGGCATATTTGTAGCCTGCATAAAAGCATCCGGTTGAATAGAATTAGGTGATAGCAAATCTGCCTGTGTGTTGCAAGGATTATCGAGGTCGATGTCTAAGTTTACTAAGCATTTGGGGGAGTCAACATTTCTTTTGACACAACCTAAAGAATTGATATTAGCAGGTATAGAGGATAGTGAGGCCATATGTATGTTTGGACCTTCTGACTGACAGTTCTGAGCAGGGTATATGGGTGGTGTGGTTTCAACCACATCAGAAGAGCCTGTGTCAGATTTTCTACTAAGAGCCAGTGTGGCTAGGTAAGGATCCATACTACTTGTCTCACAACCTGTACTATTGTAAATATCCCTGATAAAATCATTTATTACACAAGAAGGTGAAGAAGTAATGATTTCCGATCTAGTATCGTTTAGCATCTGCGTCAGATCAGGGGAAAGTGTGTTACCATGTTGTTTAGGCTTGCTAGATCTATGTCTTTTGCTGATTTTTTCAGCTGATAGTGAAGCACGTCGCTTCGATAGTTTACCAGGCATTTTGTGTATAGCTAATACAGAACTGCAGAGGTATATGAGTCTTAGGTTGTTTGACGTTATGTCAAAACAAAAAACAAGCGTAATATGTGCACCGAAATTCAGATGCTCGAAGTGGTAATACCTTAATCAATAGCCTGAAACAGGAAAATCGGCAAGGATAATATCCAGTGACTAGGAAGGTAGGTTTAGATATGAAAAAATATTGCTATTTCTATTAGTACTCAGTGGCACTAAGGATATATACTGAAAAGTGGGAATACAAGAAAGAATAATAAAAGCGAAAACCACGCGGAAAAAAACGACCAACTTCGAACCCGGCGCCTGGAGATTGTTACACCAACATATAAAAGGAATGAGCGAACTAAGAAAACTAAGGTCTGTAAACAAATATTACAATAATAAATCGTTATGTTACTTCTGACGATGTTTAACTCTTCTTTCTGAACAGCGACCGATGAGACGATGACTGTCGTATTGATGCCTCCGCGAAAATCGAGGAAGTTGATTTTGAGCAAACAACCAAGAATTGATCGTTCAATCTTCAACTCCATTGACATATGATGTTAACTAACCAAGACACTATGGGTAAATTTTTTCTTGATAAACTCTCCCAGTGTTATACAGTAATGTTTACTGATGACGTTTCGAGCACAGTTTATTGCACCTTGATATGATAATGTGCAATAAATTGTGCTCGAATGGTCATCAGTAAACATTACTGTATAACACTGTGAGACTTTATCAAAACAAAATTTACTTATAATGGAATTACACTCTACCACAGTGCACAAGTTTTATTCTTATATCAATAACCAAGATACCTTTAGTTTACTGAATAGGTCTGTTTGGGATACCTATTCATACATTTTCGATTTCGTGGTTACCTTTTTACTTTTCTGTTTATCCGAAGAGGTTGACAAAGTGGATATAAAAAGTGATGTGATGTATTCTCGAATCTCATTTGGGTTTCCCCTAAAGTCAGCATTTATTGACTGACCGGATAAGGCAGCCACACTCCTGATTGCTAATGAATCTTCTGGCAGAGCGTCTGAATATGAATACGCTGACGTTTTGGCTGAACCATTGGACCTAAATTCAAAAGCAGTGATCTTAACTGCTGTTTAGGGTTGTAATGCGCATAATGTCGCTTACGTCCGATACCTAGTGCATAAATACCAAAACTAAAGTGGTTGGGCTCAGAGCCACACCATCTTAACAAACATACGCCCCGTGAAAATGCAGACTAAGTGAAGGTCAGCATAACCTCACCAGTGAGACAGACATATTGAGGCAAGAGCAGGCTAACCAAAAATGGTAGACAGCATTTTGCGTCAATGGTTATGTCGCAAATATTGGTGGTGAAAAAACATGAACAAGACTGATTCAACGACCAATCACTGCAGACTTGGCGTAGGCAGATACAGTTAACATATAGATGACCTGACATTCAAGAAACAGTCACAAAGAGATGCAAGGTCAACTTTCTGTAG